CCGCTCCTTCACGCAAAACACCACCGCCGCCACGCCTCTCCCACTCATCACAGCCTCTGCATGACGCGAGATCAGCATTAACCTGCAGCAACGGCTCCTTCCGCACCTCATGACGGCCATGCACCTCGTCTCCGCTTCCGAATCTCTTGCGTAATCTTGCTGGTGTTCGCGGCCTAGATTAAGCCCCGTTGGATTTACGTGGAGGTGGAGGGAGGGACGGGGAGGGGGGGGATGGAAGGGGGGCGTCTTTCCGGGGGGGGAGGGGGGGTATTTTATGATGTGTGTGATTATTTTGTGTGTTTGTTATTAATGTTGTTGGTAGTGGTTGTGGATGTTGTTTGTTGTTGTGGCTGTTTATTTGTTTGGGGGGGAGGGGGGAGTGAATGAGAGATTGTCTTAGTTTTCATTTTTATTGATATTCGTGATTTTCTTTTCTTCTGTTTTTCTTTCTCTTGCTTTATTTTCTTCAACTTTTCCTCTCTTTTTCTATTTCTTTCCTTTTATCACTTTCCTTTCCTGGCCTTTACTTTTTCCTTAATCTTTCCCTTCCCTTCTTTCTCCTCTCCCTCCTTTCTTCCTTCACCTTTTTCCCTATTCCTCCTTTCTCTCATACTCCCCCTTCTACTTAATCTTCCCCCTTTTCTACTTCCATCTTTTCAAACCTCATTTTCCTCTTCCTTCTTGATTTCTACTTCTCTTTCATCATCTCCATCCTCTTCTCCATCTCCCTCCTCTTCCTTCTGTTTATTTATGCCATTTTCGTTCCGCCAGGTAAATTCCCTAGCTTCGGGAGTCTGTTTTCCTCCCGATAGGATAACCTTAACATATATTGGAGTTTTATCTGAATTATAAGGCTCCATATCGACGTAAGCGGGTCGTACCTCACTGGTTAAGCTAGGGGAATGAGAGAGAGAGAAAGAGAGAGAGAGAGAGAGAGAGAGAGAGAGAGAGAGAGGAGAGAGAGGGAGAGGGAGGGAGAGAGAGAGAGAGAGAGAGAGAGGGAGAGAGAGAGAGAGAGAGAGAGAGAGAGAGAGAGGGAGGGAGAGAGAGAGAGAGAGAGAGGGGGGGGGGGAGATGGATGGAGTGAGAGAGAGGGAAGGAAGGAAGGAAGATATAGAGAGGGAGGAGAGGGAGATGGGGTGAGAGGGAGAGGGAAGGAAGAGAGAGAGAGAGAGAGAGAGAGAGAGAGAGAGAGAGAGAGAGAGAGAGAGAGAGAGAGAGAGGGGGGGAGAGAGAGAGAGAGAGAGAGAGAGAGAGAGAGAGAGAGAGAGAGAGAGAGAGAGAGAGAGAGAGAGAGAGAGAAGGGGGGGGAGAGAATGGAAAGGAAGGAGGGACACTGGTAGGGGAGGAAGAAAGGGGGGTTTGGGGAAGGAAGGAAGAGAGAGGGTGGGAGAGAGATGGAGTGAGAGGAAAGGAAGGAGGGAGAGGGAGGTAGGAAAGAAGGAAGGAGGGATAGGGGGAGGAAGGAATAGAGAGGGTGAGAGAGAGAGAGAGAGAAAGAGAGAGAGAGAGAGAGAGAGAGAGGGAAAGAAGGAGGGAGTGGGATGGAAGGAAGAGAAATAGTTGGCGATGGGGCGAGGAAGGGAATGATGGAGGAAGGAAGGAAGAAAGAAGGAGGGAGAGAAAGGAAGGAGGGAGGGAGAAAATAAAGGGGAGATGAACGGGAATGAAGTAGGGAGGGAGGAAGGAAGGTAGAGAGGAAGGAAGGGAGGGAGGAAGAGACGGAGAATCAAACATTTTATCCTGCTAAACAAAGTGCATTTCCACGTCTACATTTATAGTTTTCAAGTTACCATGACTAAGCACTACAGTAGCCAGACACACTTAGGAAGTCCTTTTGAAACAGTATTTGTTTAATATATTCATGAGTTCATATATTCAAGTTTCTATTATAAACAGATCATATGATAAGGTAAAAATTTACAAATTATTTACATCAGTAATTGTTTTAACAAACTCCAGGCAATTATAATGCTACATTTAAAAGAAAGTGAAGATGTTCATATTATAGTAAGCATCCACTGCATAGAGTAACAATGTGTTAACTCTCATAGGGAGGAAAGGTACATATGTTTACCTTGATTTTGATATATATGGTATTGGTAAAAAACTCAATACATCAATTTAAAAAATAAGCAACGCTACTATTACATCATAATGCATACTGCGACAAAAAATGAAAATTTCAACTGCAGTGTTGTAAAATTTCGTATTATTTCAGTAAGAATATTGCAGACTGTCGGGTCATGGAAAAGGATACTGGATTTTGGTTGTTCAAATCGCATGAACGGAACTTTAAGGTCATTATTGTTTTTCACAGGATATTTCGTGAAATCTGAAACTAAGCTTATCATTGTCAGGAGTACTTAGACTACTAAATATAAATGATCCACAGCAGTAAGGGCTGACTTTATTAGGTCTTAGGAGCTTATGATTTACAAAGCATTCATGTGGTATGTTTGTTTGTTTTTTTTCTAGCAGACTACCTATATTTTTATTATTGTCTTTAATGGATTCAGTTAATTACAACTAGTCGCTTCCCAAAGTATTTGATTAGTTCTGAAATTCGGAATTGCTAAAATATTACACATTTGCGCAAGGGCTTTTACATTAAACAAGATTCTTGTTTGGTAATTTAATTTACGCCGTTACTTAGTTTTGGCCGAATGGTAAGGACATGCGATTTCCAATTTATCTGAAAGTCCATGTAAATTGCCCAAGAACTGTGTACTCGTAAGTCTTTTAAGAGGGACATAAAAGAACATAACTTTGTTTCTGTGAAATATCACATACTGTATTCAGCGACATTTAACATTCGTTTATTTGGAATGGTCCATTTTCTGATATTTGTAGCACATGAACCTTAGAAACACTTATGGAAGAGTAAAAGCAGGTATCATTAGCATAAATCTTCTGGTTTCAATCCCTAGTCGGGGTCGCCGGTGCGGATTTTTCTTCTCCACTTTGCTCTGCCCACCGCATCCCTTTCGTTGACTCCTCTCTCTTTTTTATCTTAGCTAATGCAGTCCTCCCATCTTCTCTTCGGCCTACCTCTTTTCCTCCTACCCACCTGTGATTGTCTCATTTTCCTACGTAGTCATTGTCCCTCCTGACAACGTGTCCCAACCATCGTAATCTACTCTCCCTTAGCTTTCCTGCTATTTCCCCTACTTTCAATCTCTCTCTTATTTCTTCATTTCTCACTCTATCCCGCCTTGTGAGTCCCAGCGATCATCTTAACATTCTCATTTTCGCAACCTGTATGTTACCTTCCTGCGCCTTCGTTACAGCTACCGCCTCCGTCCCGTACACCATCGCTTGCCTCATCATCGTCTTGTACATCCTTCCCTTCACAGCGTCTGAAACCTTTCTGTCGCACATCACACCTGTTATTTTCTTCCATGATCCCCATCCTGCCTGTATCCGTTTCGTAACTTCCCTCTCTGACCCACCATCTGCCTGTACAGTGGATCCCTTCCACTTGTTTAACAACTTCATCCTTTCCTTTTCCTGCCCTTCCTCCCCGTCATCTGCTTTCATTTTCAGGTATTCGGTCTTCTTTCTGCTCACTTTCATACCTCTTACCTCCATCGCCTCTCTCCACAACTCTAGCCTCTGTTCTACCTCCTCCTGTCTCTGCACCCACCGCAGTGTCGTCTGCAAATAACATATCACCACCCTCTGCACCTCTCCCGTCATACAATCAATAATAACTGCAAACAAGAAAGGAAAGTGTTGAGCCTTGATGCAGTCCTACCGTTACCTCAAACTCCTCTGTGTCACCTGCTGCCCATCTCACTAGTGTCTTGCTACCCTCATACATATCATATACCAGCCTGATGTATTTCTCTTCCACTTCCTTTAGCTGCAGACAATTCCACACTCCCTGCCTTGGGTCCCGATCGTACACTTTCTCTAGGTCATTGAAGATGCAGTGCAACTCTTCGTGTCCCCCTCTATACTTCTCCGTTACTTAATGGAGTGCAAATATTGTATCCATTGTGCTTCTATTGGGCAAGAAGTCGAATCACTGCTCTGATACCTCCACCCTGTTCCTTAGCTTCTTGTCTATAATTCTTTTCCCACTACTTTAGCATGTATGAGTTAAGTTTGATGCCCCAATAGTTTCCACAATCCTAAATGTCACCCTTATTCTTAAATATTGGTATTAGAGTGTTAGCTCTCCATTCATCTGGCATATGTTCTGCTCCAAGATCTTTCTGAACACTTCCGTTAGCCACTCTACTGCCGTTCTCCCATAGCCTTCCACGCTTCCACCGGTATGCCTTCCGGTCCTACTGCTTTTCCCTCTTCATTCATTTCATAGCCGCTGTCACCTCTTCTTCTCTCATTCTGCCGCCTCTATCTCCTGTTTTACCCTCGGGTTCTCTACATTCATCAGTTGTTGATAGTATTCCTTCCACCTCTCCCTTATCTGTCTTCTCTTAGTACCTGTCCTTCACTATATTTCACTCTTTTTTCTTGGTACACGTCCTGTGCTTCCTTCTTGTTCTTCTGTTTCACTATCCTGATAGTTTTTCTTTGATCGTCTTGCCCTTCTAGGCTACTATACAAATCCTTGTGCACTTTGCTTTTTGCCTTCGCCACTTCTCTCTTAGTCTTTTTATTTGCCCTTTATAGGCTGCAATAGCCTCCTCGCACCTGTTTAGATCCCTTCCCAGTTCCCTCTCTTTCTTTTCTTTAATCACCTCTTGTACACCACCACTAAATCTCCTCTTTCTTCCCTTTCTTTCCCTAATTACGTCTTTGTGTGTTTTGTCCACCACTCGTATAGGTTGCTCAGCAAGTCAGTCTTTTCTGGAAGTAGGCATTAACTACTGCCATGCCTTTTGCTGTTGCAAAGTCCACAGTCCTGTCTCCTCCTTCTTCCGTGCTCCAACACCGTACTCTTCTGTAACTTCTGTATCAAGGTTCCCTTCCCCAACATGCCCGTTAAGGTCCCTCGCGATCCAGACCACCTCTGCATCCTGTATTTTCATCACCCCCCCCCCCCCCCCGAGCAGATCCCAGAAGTCGTCTTTTCCCCTTCTGTACACCCCACTTGAGGTCCGTACACGCACACAAAGCTGACCGTTGTTTCTCCTATCTCGATTTTTAACTATATTACCCTATCGGACTCCCTGTTCACCTGTACATTCCCCTCTGTCATCTCTGGACTCAGCACCACACCTACTCCATTCCTCCTGTTGTCGTCTCCCATGCAGTACAGTTTATATCCATTTCCCAGCTCCTTGGCCTTCTGCCCTCTCCATCTAGTTTCTTGTACACACAACACGTCTATTTCCATCCTCTCCAATACATGCACCACTTTTCTTCCTCTCCCGGTCACTGTACCCACGTTCAGTTTTGCCATCACAAACGTTCTGTCTTCCACTTTTTTCTTCCCCCTTTCTCCCCTTTGAGCTATCTTCTTTAACCTTACCCGCCCCTGGTAAGGTAGCCGTTGTCCACTTCTGGCAGATGCCTGGCGATGTTGCTGCGCATCGCTTGCGGGGTATGCCCTAGCTTTATCTCTATTCCTTTGTATCGGCATCTTCATTATGGGTTGTGCATCATTAGCATAAATAATAGAGTTAAAATTGCTAGCATGGACTATAATATATGTATACGTGAAGTGGAAATAGATTGGGAACTAGCACTGACCCCTGGCGTTCTTCAAGCATAGCAGTACTGAAAGAACAACTATCATAAGTGTGGGTGATAAATCTGTCTGCGTAGATAAATGAAAACTTTGCGAATTATGGTTGAAACTGGTTCTTTGCTTTGATTGAGGATTTTCTTTCTTAATGCAGAATCTGTTATAAAAAGAATCTATATATGAGATGAAAATGCTTATAAAACCATAGGCAAGATTTGGGTCATTAGATGTAGAAACTGTGCCTCAACAAACACCTTTCAGATTATTTTATCAAAGATACATACTTGGATTTTGCAGTAATCCTTTAAGTAAATAAGTATCTTCGGTTTCTATTGAGAGTCAATTATGAATATGCTAAATACAAGAATTATGAAATGTTGCAATAACTGATGTCACTTTTGTACTAATTTGGGACAGGAAATTTTATCCACAAGTAAACAATGACAAAAATAGATATTGTACACGAACAACTTCAGTAATAATTATAAGAAAGCTTAGACTTCTGAATGAAAACTTCAGCAGATCGACCCCGAAGTGACCAGTAGCAAAACATAACTCGTGGTTATCATCAACTAAATCTCTTCTAAGAACTGGGTGACATTGCTGACACACTGTATGATTGTCCGAAGAAAATGTTGATGGTGCTATCACTAATTCCAGCAGAAAATTGATTCTAGACAATCTCCAAATGGCAAACAGCCTCTAACGTGCGAGGTAAATCTATAATGGAGGAGTAGGGATATTTTTCCACACTTCCGAGAACCAAGTATAGAATATACATGGCAGGTAGGTAGAGTGTGTATATCATGTCAGTTTTGTTCCGAAGACCAAATTGCTTCACATGTGGATCCGGAGTAAAACACAGAATTTTATATTCTTCCAAATGTTCTAGAATTTTAGGTGTACTGTGATTTATGAAGGACAAATGAAAATCTTGAGATTTTGGCCACAATCTTAGTAATGGTGGTTTCGGGAAAAACGTACAGGCAGTGTGAATTTATCATACAGTGAAAATCTATAAGTACAAGAGGTACAACGGGGGTTGTTGTTTGCTATAGATGTGACATTCGTAAATTCTTCCTCATTTATATTATTGAAAAGGAAATTGAATGTAAACGCCACCCACACTAGCAACCCCTTGCTTGACCTGACGTCGCAAGCAACTCGTGGCTTCCCTTGGCCTGATGCATTATTTCACTTGACCTAATGCCACCGGCGTTGACCTGATGCCAGTCGCACTAGCCATGTGTATCTTGGCTTTTCCTGGCGCCTTGACCTGATGCCATCCGCACTAGTAAAGCGTCGCTTCCCTTGACTTAACAATTTGTCGTGACGCATCGACTCACTTGACCTAACGCCATCCGAGCTAGCAACACGTCGATTCATTTGACATGACACCAACTGACGCCAATATGTCGTTTCGCCTGACCTGACAACTTGACCTGAGGCCACCCGCACTAGCAATGGTTCGCTTCCCTTGACATGACGCATCGTTTCACTTGACTTGACGCCATCCGCTCTAGCAACGAGTGGCTTCACGTGCTCACGCGAACCCAGGCGATGGCAACAATAGTCTTCTTTTTCGTCAACCAACTCTTCAAAAATCTTGAATTTAAACGGATACTGACATTCCTCTACACCGATCAGGTCATATAGAGCAACCAAGCGAGAGGCTTTCATAAGGAGACATGGATAAAAGAGAAAGAGTAGATGGCATGGAGAAACAGACAAGAAATAGAAGAGAGAAGCACTGAAGACGGGTAGGCATAAAGGAAGAGGAAAGAGGAATACACAGCAAAAGAGAGAAAAAGAGGAAGGCAGAAGAGAGAGGCAAAGAAAAGAGGAAGGCATGGCGATGGGAAGAAGCAAATAGAAGAGAAAGACGAAGAATATGGGAGCAAAAAAGAAGTGGAAGACAGAGAGAAAGAGAGAAGTAAATATGAAGGGAAGACATAGATAGAAAGAGGAGCAAAGAGAAGAGATAAGCATAGACAGAGTAAGAAGTAAAGAGAGGGGAGCAAAGAATAGAGAAAAAAAATGAGGAGGAAAGAGGACAAAGAGAGAGAAACAAACAAGAAAAGCAAAAAGGAGGGAGAGAGAGCGAGACAAAGACAGAAAAAAGAGAGAGGGCGAGAGAACGAGAGAGAGAGAGAGAGAAAGAGACAGACAGAGAAAGAGAAAGAAAGAGACAGACAGAGAGAGAGAAAGCAAGAGACAGCCAGAGAAAGAGATGCAAGAGACAAACAGAGAAAGAGAAAGAGACAGACAGACAGACCGAGAAAGCGAACGAACGAACGAACGAGAGAGAGAGAGAGAGAGAGGGAGGGAGGATTGCGGCCCATTAAACACATGCATCATTGCCTCGGCTTTCCTCACGTGGGCCGCAGGTGAACCCCGTCTCTTGACCTTTCTGTTCACCTCGCACCTTCCACTTCCCCTCGCCCTTTCCCCCTCTTCCCCTTCCTCTTTAGCTGGGGTTTCTCCCCTCGTTTCATCCGTCTTCCCCATTTCTTTTATTTTTCTCCCTTTGTATCTTTTTTTCTTGTTGTTCTTCTATGTATTTTTTTTCTTATCTTCTTTTCTCTTCTTCCCTTCTTCTTTAGCCTGATTTTTCTCCCCTCGTTTCATCCGTCTTCACCATTTCTGTTATTTTTCTCCATTTGTATCTTTTTTTCTTGTTGTTCTTTTTATTTTATTTTTTATCTTTCTTTCTCTTTTTCCCTTCCTATTTAGCTGGGTTTTCTCCTCTCGTTTCATCCGTCTTCCCCATTTCTTTTATTTCTTCTTTTGTATCTTTTTCTTGTTGTTCTTCTTCTTATTTTCTTCTTTATCTTCTTTTCTCTTTTTTCTCTTCCTCTTTAGCTGTGTTTTCCCCCCTCGTTTCATCCGTCTTCCTTAATTATTTTACTTTTCTCTATTTGTATCTTTTTTTCTTGTTGTTTCTCTTTGTATTTTCTTTTTTATCTTTTTTCTTCTTTCCCTTCTTCTTTAGCCTGATTTTCTCGCCTCATTTTATTCGTGTCTCTTCCCTATTTTATTTTTATTTTTTCTCCTTTGTATCTTATCCTTATTTTTATTCTTTGTATCTTCTTTATCTCATTCTTTATCTGCCTTTCTCCTCCTTCTCTTCCTCTTTAGCCTGATTTTCTCCCTTAATTTTATTCATGTGTCCTCTCCATTCTTTTATCTTTTTTCCCTTTATATCTTATTTTTATTCTTATTCTTTGTATTCTATTTATCTTATCTGTTTCTTCTTTTCTTCTCTTGCCCTTTCTCTTTAACCTGATTTTCTTCTTCCTATTTTTTTTTCCATTTTCTATCTTCTTCTTTATCTTTGTATCTCCTTCTTTGTCTTCGTTTCTTCTTTTCTCATCTTTCCTTTCCTCTTTAGCCTGATTACCTCCCCTCATTTCATTCATTTTTGTTGCTTATTTCTTTTTCTCTCTCTCTTTATTCCCTTCTTTAGACTAATTTTCTTTCAATACCTTTGATTTATCATATTTTCTCCTCTGTTTCTTCTCTGGATTGTTTATCTCCTCTCATTTATTTTATGTCCCTACGTATTTTTCTTGTCTTTATTTCTCTCGTGTTTTCTCTCTAGTTTGTTTCTCTCTCCCTATTTCGTTTAAATTTCTTTCTTGTTTCTCCTATTTATCTCTTCACCTTCTCTCTCTTTCTAGATTTCTTTCAATTCCTCTTTTTTTACTTTTCATTACATCTCTTCTTTCTCCCTCTTTTTGTCTTGATCATCTGCCTGCTTCTCTCCCCTCATTTATTATCATTTTTCTCATCTATGACTTTATCGCTTCCTGTCTGAATTCTGATTTTCGCTTTAATTCACTTTTTTTTTTTTTTTTTTTTTTTTTGCTCTTTTCCTAACTCTCTGATTCATATTTTTATTCAGTTTGCTTCTCTCCCCTTATTTCGTTTATGTTCCTTTATGTCTCCTCTTTATTTCCCCTCGCGACTTGTCCTTCAATTTGGCCTGTTTCCCCTCCGCTTTCTGTTTCTATTCGTTTATCCTATTTCCCGCGTTATCTGCTCTGTCCATGCCATAAATTATCCTTGATTAGTTTTTTTATTCAGGTGTCATAAAAATTGCCACATGCCACCCCCCTATCTGGTTCCTTTCCCTTCTCCCCTTCCCCTATCCCCTCTCTCCCCTTCCCCTACCCCCTCTTTCCCCTTCCCCTATCCCCTCTCTCCCCTTCCCCTATCCCCTTCTCTCCCCTTCCCCTATCCCCTCTCTTCCTCTCCCCCTCCTTCCTCTTCTCGTCTCTTCCTCTTCTTAGTTCTCCTACCCCTTGTCTTCCTCTTCCCTCCTTCCTCCCTCTATTCTCG